TCTATCTATCATCTATCTATCTATCTATCTATCTATCCATCATCTATCTATCATCTATCTATCATCTATCTATCTATCTATCTATCTATCTATCTATCTATCTTCTATCTATCTTCCTACCTACCTATGTATCCATCTATCTGGATAAATTTCTTTTCTCATATTTAGACATGTTAGAGAATTCTATGGGAAGTCTATGGGAATTCTATGTTCTAGGAACATAATTCTATGTACCTGCTATAGGATATTCAAGGCTTTGAGTGCTTTAACACAAGACTAAGAGTGTAGTAAAAATCATCACAGGCCCCCAAATGTACCATCTGTGAAACCATTTATCTCTGAAATAGGTACAGACAAAAAGCAGGAGAATTGATGTCCAACTCTGAGAAGCCCCAGTGTGGATTCCACTGCATGCACATTTTTTTCATAGCTAATTGATTAATCAATAACTGGAATTTAGTCAGTTCTCTTTCCTTAATATTTTCTACTTACCTATAGTATTCCCTAATTCACATTGTGGCTAAATTATTTCCTGCCTGTTAATCTTTTTTTCTTATTACATTTATTTATTTATTTATTTATTATTGATTTATCACTCAATAAACAGTGAGTTAATGCTCTATCCATTACCATTTTTATCAAAGATTTCAGTGTCATAATTTATGTTTTTGAACAAATAGGATAGCAGCTTTCTTACAAGCAACTGTACTAAATTAAGCATACTTTGCACTGCATTACTAGACTTCCCCATATTAAGGGGGGATTTCCAAAAATTTTTCTCTGATTCACCAAGAGTGAGCTAACCCAGTCAAGGGAGAAGTGAAAAGCAAGTGTGGCATGTGAGTTTGCACAGAGGGCACATGTCAGGATGGCTGTTGGGGTTTGTCAGTAGCCTTAGCCTGAAGTCATCAGAAGAGATGGTATGAATCTACGAGCTCCAATTTATTATGGAAGGTGATTAAATTATTCCCAAATTTAATGCCCCACTGTCTTCTGGAAGAAATAAACATAAATTTGTCTATAGAAAAGTACTTACTTACAAGGTATGATGTGCTAAGATAAGATATGTAGGAGCTCATTACTACAAAATTTGCCACAATGACAGAGAGTTAAACCACCATAAGTGAATAAAGTAGAAACAAGAACAACAGAGTAAGATATGTAAAAACTTTAGATGCAGGAGTTTTGCATTCTAACAATTATCATGTGCTTAAGAATAGAAAATTGTTATTTAAATTTCATGAAACAATGTGAAACTATAAATTACTATAGGGAACAAAAATCAAATAACATTGCTAATTAAATGGCATAATCATTGAAATTTTAAAAAATTTGAAGACAGGTTAATTTATAGATTGAATAATGGTGGAGAACCAGTGAGCTAATCACACTGAGCCATTAGAGAAAATGCTTAAGAGACAAGTAAACAGAAAATATGAAAGGCAAATAGTAGGATCTAAAGTTTAATGAGGTCTTCATAACACACATCCAGTTATAATCTCAGAAGAAAAGAATGTAGAAAATGTCATGGAGGATAATGTCAGTATTGTATATTGGAGGAGAAAAGAGGACAAGTTTTTCTAGAACCGATGAAAGATATAAATATGCAGATACAAAGAAGTATAGCACACACTGATCAAGTTATCCATAAACACAGTATTTCAAAAGTTGAAAAACCAAGGCATAGAGATTATTAAGAACAATTAGAGACAAGCAACAAATTAAATATTCAGAAAAGACAGCTAGGTTGACATACTGTTATTAACCTTGAAAACTGGACTAAGACAGGATGCTACTGGATGAAATCAATCTATTGCTCACCTCTCCAAATAATCTTCCAAGAGTAGAAGCAAAGTCATATTCATATAAGACCTGGGAAGCATTCGTACATCTATACCAACATGGTCTGCATCATTTATGTTGTTTAAAAGAGAAAGATTGAGCAGGGCATGGTGGTACACATCTCTAATGCCCAAATTTGGGAGATAAAAGCAGAAAGGTCAAGAGTTCAAGATCATTCTCAGCTACATAATTTGATGCCAGCCTGGGCTACATGAGATTATGCCTCATGAAAATCAATAAATTAAAAATACAACTAACAATCAAATATATAAAATAGAGATAAATTAATATTTGGACAATGCTATTACGTAAATTTGGAAGAGAAATGACCAAGATTAAAATGGTCTGAGGTACTTGAATT